GCCCGCTGCCTCGCTGGTCGCTCCCGGTGCCCCCCCCCCAGAGCTGCTGGCAGCAGCCACGCTCTGAACGGTCAGCCCACAGCCCAAAGAGCACCAGTGACAGCCGAGCTCAGGCTGGCGCCTTTCCCTTCAATCAAGGCAATAATCTGATCTCTTCTTCCCAGCCACAGGTTTCCAGAGGTGGATGGCACAATTGCATGAGCTACATCTCCACATAAAGCCAGGTTAGAAGGAATTTTTTGAAATTACTTATTAAGAAATATTCATTGCTATTTTTGGTTTAAATGTTATTGTCTTATCATTTATGGCATACAACACTAAGACATTAAAAATCATATTATAAATTCAATAAAACCAGATTAATTCTGTAACTCCTTGCATGTTTAAGAATTCATTGCTCATTGGAATTTTTGTTGTTCTACTTACATCAGTTTAACTAATTTCTACCAACTAGCTTTAATTACTAAAGAAACTTTTATCTTACACAAATAAATAAGCTATGTCATATGGCCGCAGAACAAGGTAGGACTGTTTCCACTGTAAAAATTGCTGTAGAATTTCATCTGTTTCCCCTGCTGTTGGAATTTTATTCTCATCTATCCAGAACTCCAGGGAGGAGAGCACAATTGTTACATTAAGAGGATTAAACATCTGAAAATGTAACAGAAGAAATGGCTGCTCAAACGTCTTTTCATGTGGAGCAGAATTAAAACTGCATAAACAATAAAGGAAGTAGGAAAAAAAAGAAAATATCAACTGGCAATCACTGTATGACATCTGTATGACAGAAGAGAACAAAGAAAACTAGAATTATATAAAATATACCAAGAGGCACAAGGAGCAAAGCCTAGTAACTTCATAAGAAGATTTTGTTTTTTCCATAAATAAATTGTCGGTGTATGCACAAATAGCTACATTATTAAGTAAGCAACATAACAGCATCAGGACAGTTTTTAAAGGTGTGTGCTTGATGGTGTGAAGGGGAAGAATGGGCATAGAAGTTAATTAAAAGTACCTGAATGGGAATAGGTTATTTATATAGCTGTTAAATGAGATAAGATCTACAGCACTGAGAAGGGAATAAACTAGAAAGCGTCTAAAAGCTTGGACACTGGATATCCTAAGGCAAAATGCCTACGTTAGTCAATGGCTTAGTACATCTGCATGAGATATTACTGCCACGTGAGGATGGATGTTAATTTATAGCAGATCTGCAGCCCTACAAAAAAACCTCCCCAGGACACACTTTACAAGCTATAAATGCAAGACAGCTTACTCCACTATCCTGGTATAATCACACTGCAAATAGGATCATTTAAAGCTGAAATCGGTGGGCAGTGGTCACCATTCTGCGTCCTGCAAATTCCTATCCTATTCTACTAAACAGCACTTTCTTTAATACTTAATTCTGAGTAGTTCAGGACTGATCATAACTGTAACCGTAACTCTAGCTTGGACCATATTACTAGTTCCACTACAGCTTTAAAAGAGTATATAGTTACAACGGTTAAGCAATGCCTTTGCATTAGGCCACTAGGACTAAATCTCTAACCCACCTTTTATCAAGTCTAGAGCAAGCTGCAGAGAAGCTAGGAGCTCATGCCAGGCCATGCCTAGACATCATAAACCAGAACATCAAGAGCCAAGACTTGAAATTTGGTTTAGATAGCCCCCTCCTCAAATTGAAAGCGGCTAAGGAGTAGGTGACCGTTAATCACCATGAAAACTCCCCCTTCATTTTACGGCAAAACAAAACAGACAATAAAACTTACACTGTTGACAAAACCAAACACCTGGATTATCCTTTGTGTCACAACATTCCTGTCTGAACCCATATAGTTGTACTGAAAAATAACACAAGACGACATTATAAGAGACAAGTTGTTTGTCAAGAGGAAGAAATACAACGTTGAAATGACTGCCAATACCTACTTGCGTAAATGTGCGCCACTTATTTTCATTCTCTCCCTCCTTCAAAATCCACAATACAAATGCATTTTCAAATGGGAAATCAAAAATATATAAAAGCTGGGAAATGGCAAAATCTTTTAGTGCTTTCAGAAGTTAAAAAAAAAAAACGTAAGTGACTTACCAAAGCCTTGTCCAAAACTACATACACTTCTACGTATCTGGGAGACATTACTGCAGCTGATACTGGCTGAAAACAAAAATGATATTTGTTGCTATTTATCTCTACCTTCTAGCCATCTTATTCCTGAGGCCTGCTAGACAAATAAATTTCCCGATCAAAAGCAATACCTAGATAATGTCTTCAGACTAGCATAATTTAAAAAGTCATCCTAAATTTTCTGATAACTACAAGACACCAAAACCTCCAGAAAGCATCATCATCATCATCACAGCATTTACGCACTGCTAATAGGAAAACCAGGGCCCTCTGACAGCCACAGGAACAACTGCCCAAAGCAGACAACACATTACTGCCCAACTCTTTGAGAACTAGAAGGAGAAAGACTGCCGCATTTACAAATCAAACAAGAAAACAGGTAGCTCTCAAAAACGCCTCTCCTTAGGCACTGGGACACACAACCCACAATCCCTGCCACACTTATCACACGCACTTGCCCTCTTAAAAGACCGCCTCTCATCTCCGTCCTTCTGGGGTTCACACCAGACAGAACTTCCCGCAGAAATACACCCCTCCCACAGCAGATGCTCACACGGCCTCAGCTCTGCCTTCAAAATAAGCAAGCACTCACTTCATCATCATTGATCTTCAAGATCATCTCCTCTGCTGTCACCTTGTCTTTCCCTCTCTCAGCGTGGACATTTGCAAAGAGGAAACCCGCTGTGTTCTCGTTACTCATCTGATACACGAAGTGCTCAAATGCAGGTGAATAAACCAGAGGCTCAATCCCATAGCTCACGTTCTCAAACTGCAGCAAGCCTCTGCAAAGGCAAACGGTGCAGATGGTACCTGCAGCTGCCACCGCAGCCGCAACACACGGACGCTCTGCCTGGGGTCCATCTCTGTGAGACCTAAGGACAGTGGCTGCCTTGACCAGGAACGATATCTGCCACTGGGTGCACATGGCAGTCCCCGGGAAGCCGCGCTCCGCCTCAAGTGCCATTCAGAGCAGAAGCCACGGCATGCTGCATGCTGCTGGCGGGCAACGGCTGGCTTCTTCCCAACAACGGCCCGCAGCTGCACACACGCACTAACGTATGCCACTGCGAGGGAGAGGTGCTGACCCTGTTACCTGAGCCCAGAGCAGGTACTGAGAGTCACGGCTGAACCTGGGAAGCCTTCGATATATCCGCGGTAGTAGCAATCATCCTAAATCCAAACAAGAGCAAAGCAATCCCTTATTGAGCCATAAATACGCTTCTGCAACCAGCTGCCAGGACAGCTTAACTGCATATACTGAACAGCAGTGCTACTCTGGAATAAGTAAGATGCAAAAAAAACCCAAAGCGATCCCAGCTTACCTTCATATGGGACGAATCAGAGTGCAAAGACCCCTTCTGACTGTACGTGTAAATCCTGAAATCGTCAGATAAAAAGAGACTACAAAAGAAAGATGGAAAGTGAAACACTGAAAATAGGATCTCCTACCCAACGCTTTTTGAGCTTACAGGTCCTGCAACCTGCCCTGTCACACAGATGGTGCTCGGGTGTCTGGCAGATCAGAAAACCGCTGACGGTCACATCAGGGCCACAGGCACAAACATCCCCCCCGCCCCCCAGCACGCACCCGCCGCGGAGCCGGAGATGCGCCCGCTAACGGGGCACGTTCCCAACCGCTGCAGAGGCTGCAAACAGCTCGCTGGGGCAGGGCCAGCTTGAACGCTTGCGGGCAGAAACCGCCCCCCACAACCGGACGCGCTCCGGCAGGGACAGCGAGAACTGCACAACAGCGCTCCGAGCAGGAAAGACAAAGCCAAACTTACTGCTGCCTCAGGTGAATGGTGTACGGCCTCCCTTCTATCGTGAGGACATAGGACACTGTGGTGTCCTAGGGCACGCAGAGAAGCAGAGAAAGGGAGCATTAGGAACACCACCTTCAGAAAAGCATGCCCCGAGGGCAACGCACAAAACACACGGGAAAATTACAAGGCCTCAACAAGCAAACGCTCGGTGCTTCTTCGAGGGAAAGGCACAGCGACGGCTGTGCCGACAGCGCAGGTCTGACGCCTCCTGCTAAGGTACCAGAGCGGGCCATCCCGCATCCCCCGCCTCCTGCGCTAGGCAGAGCACGGTTTCCTGCATACGTATGCCCACTCCCACCTACAAACACACGCGTGAAATAATTTGATTACTAAGGTACCGCCTGTCCAGTTGTGTTTGCAGGCAATCTCTGTGGAACTGTGATCTGTGAAAGCACTTGTGAACCTAGAGAGAGGAAAGAGAACGGTGCAAAACTGTTACGAGCAGAACCCGCTCCCAGCAGACTCCGGGATGCCGCGGGAGG